GTTCCTGCGGCACAACATCTTCGCCCTGGGTACGTCGTTCTTGCTGCACCTCGCTGATACTCAACTCACACGTTCACTTCTCACAAGTGACGGACGGTGGTCGAAAATTTGTTCTGGGCGTGGCAACATCTCAGGACTTGGAGGTGCGACTCGCTAGTTTCCGTACGATCAGATGTTCCGACCTGATATCTTGTCCTCACTTCCTTAGAGTTTCGTTTCCCGTCGTGGGTTCTAATCGTCTGGCTATCTGGTGTCACCTCATGCTGTATCGCTTTCGTTCTTCGTCTTAATGCCAATTTTCGCGCGTATCTCCGAGCTACGACGTACCCAACGTCTAATACTGATACACAGGGGTATCCATGAAAGACACAAAGGAGTGAGAGAGAAGTGTCCTGAGAGAAATCACAACACATCAGCTAATTACTACTACGCTACGAAGAGGAACAATAGTTCCATGAGCAGGTACGGTATGAATGGGTACCATACAAGGGTTGGAAAGAGCATAGAAGAGGAGACTCAAATTGAATGAATTATCGTGCCACCCGTGTCCATGGGGGCGCACCGAACGCAATAGCAGGTGCCCATGCAACCAAGAGTAGCGCGACGTGCTGGGTGCCGATAGAACTCGACAAATCTTCTCCCCATGTGATCTCGACGAGCGACGAAATAGTGGCGAGTATCTGCGTAAACGACAGGACGAGCTGAAAGACGAGGATACGCCACACCGCAGCACTGTCGTGCGCCGACGGGGGCGCTGGGGACACATCTGCAGCCGAAGGCGGCCAGAACGAGTCTGCGGATAGACAGCGATCGTATGAAGGGGGCGGAAATGCGAGACGTTGATCAGCGATCGGCGTGCGCACGAGATTATCGGGAGGGGACCTACGCGTGTACACGTCGAACGCCCCATCCTCACTCGCCTCGCGCGCAAACCGCAGATCCGACTTAGTGAGGCTCGACTCGAACGAGTCGCGCGCCCACTTCATCGACCCGCTCTGTGCATCGTCGAGCGTATCGCATTCGACGATGTCCTCTTCCTCTGCTGTCGGTCGGCTGTACTGCAGCGCCGCCCGTTCATCTGCGTAAGGGACCAGATGTGACGCGGGCGGGGCGCGTGCGCCGAAGCTGGTGAACAGGGGTACGTTGATTGGGCTGGTCCGCGGACTGGATGCGTTGGAAGCTGAGGCGAACAGAATTGGGGAGGGAGATGGGCTCAGAGGGCTGGGCTGGTCTCGTTGCTGCTGCTCATTCTCCGGCGACGGTAGGCGAGATGAGGACTTCCACGGGAAAGGTAGATGATATCGCTCCATGCGGGAGTGGACAGGAGCAGGTCCTGCTGGTGTGAGAGACGTGCTGGCGGACCAAGAACCATTGGGTGTAGATATAGCATAGACAAACGAGCTCGGTGACGGCGTTGTTGAGGGAGCTCGTCGCTCGATGTCAGAAACTTGCTGGCTGTGAGTGATAGGGGGCAGCGTCTTCATCTCCATGGTAGCACCGAAGTCGCCACTATCGTCCCTCTGGGAAGATTTGCGTTTCGGTCTTAAGTCGTGGCGACTGGGGAGAGGTGTGAATATATCAGAGGTGGGTTCGACGCGTGAGACACGGGAAAGATTGTGAGTGCGCTGCTTTCGGTAGGAAATCAGAATAATAGCGCAGGTTAATGTGAGAATGAGTGATGGTACGGCGAGCAGAAGCGGGACTCCGGCGAAGCTGAACAGACGAACCCTGCGGTTATATAATACGTTAACTTCTCGAGGCATCACAGACTCATCTAACATACCATATGGGATTTGTAGCGTCGCAATGCATGTTGGATGTCCCTTGTATCGCATGTAACTTGACCGCCAGCACGATGTACACGATGGAAAATGCTGACGGAAAACCAACGACTAGTAAAAGCAAAGAAGTTCGCCATTTCAAAGCTTGCCGGCTATTGTGAAGGGCCTTAATGCATAGCTCTTCACAGAAAGCAATTACGTACAGATCGAGCACTGCGACAGTGCGAGTTCGGTACAGGCGGAGGATGACAAGTGATGTCATGATCGTCATGGCCGCACAAACGGCTGTCGTAACTAACCAGGGTATTGCTGTGAGGAAAGATTGCGCTGGATGCGAGGGTCAGGGATAGGACATGGCGCGCAGGTAGTAGGGGACATCGTGGACGAGCTCACCAATGCAGAACGTTTCGGGCATCATGAGCGGATTCATCTTCCAAGCCATGCCTAAGAAGCGAGTGGCACTCAGGGAGTCTGCGCGAACTAGGCAACGGAAAGGACGCACCAATACACAACATAATCTGTATCATCCCATTTGCAACGGTGTATAGTATGGGTATCCAGTGACAATCCACTGCAGCGACGAAACGAGGCAGCACGACCAGACTGCTCAGCAATCCTGGATGATATGTCGCAGGGCAGCATCGTCAGCGTATGGCAGCAGATGCAATCAGAGGGGGTTCACCTGTTAACGACAGCACGAACCATGCGATCTTGAGCGAAAAGGACATCATTCCTGAGCCAAAGCCTCACCGCAAGGAGCAGCGGGAGGGATCCTGACGAGGCCGCGGAGGAGGAAAGGAGAGGGGACGATAAGCTGTGCAAGCGTTGTGAGCGATGCACATCTCCGGTCCACGGCAAAGAAGAAGTGATGTCGAGGGCTGGGCTCGTGGAGGGTTCTGCCAGAGCCGCTGAGAGCGGCAGGAGTGCCTATCACTCGCTGCGTTTGGCTAGCCGGGCCCGATTGCAGGGGGGACGAGCGGACCCAATTGCCGCATGGCATCATGGCTAGTGCTATAAGTAACCGCCATGATGGGGGAACAGAACGTGGTACGTACCGTTCTGTTCTGTTCTGTTCTAACGGCGCAGCAGGATTCTGCGGCGGAATTGGAGTCGTTGTCGACATGCTGCACACGCCGTCTTCTCTCGTCAAGTCAGTGCCCAAAGCTCTCAGCCAGCGGAGGCATTAAACATTATTAATTGGCCCATCGAGCTCGAACTTGGCACGAGAGGATCACTGATCCACGCCAACACGTGATCCACGTGTACCCGCGCAGTGACTCATAGAGTCAGAGCCGCCCGTCGTTGCCAGTGCAAGCTCATCGACGACCCCGTCCGGAGAAACTTTGCTCGACGCTCACACTTGCGGCCCTCTCTGCCCTTCCTCTTGTCTTCCGCTCCCTTATCGCGCGTATGAAGAACCTGCACATCTAAAGCTGCCGGAGCTCTTACGAACTTTCCTGATGCCACCTCTGGATCAAGATGCTCAACTCAACGATCCGGCTATGTGCTGGCGCTGTGGTGAGCAGATTACTACCACCGTACATATTAGACAGCGCTAGAGGCGTCTTCCACCTGCTCAACTCGCTCAGCGCACTTCTGGCTATCAACTCTCATGCTACCTTCATAGTGCATGCACAAGGCGCTCGTTTTTGAGGACGTCTTGACTGGATGTCGCTCTGAACCATAGAGGTGGCTTGATGATCAGGAAGATGTCGAAGCCATCCAGCGCTTAGCTCGCACACAGCGCTCTTTTTTTCGATCACTGCCAATGCCGCACTCGGTGGGATGTCCAAATTATGTGCACATGTCATCTGAGCCCATTCACTTGCTGGCCGTTTTCTTCCGCCGGGCTGCCTTGTATCCTTCAAGTCATTGTCCCTAGATGGGTTCAATACGGACAATCTTAATTAATGTGGCAGATATATTCTCCGAGGATCAAGCACATGGCTACTTCCCGTCAGCATCCACGTCACGTCGTCAAGATTCCTAGTGCCACCGTAACTAACACTTGACTTGGTCTAATCCTCAGCCGCTTGCTTACTCTCGACCACCCTTCTGAAGTCCCCGGCTGTCGCCGCGTGCAAGGATGAAGCAATACCTGCCGGCTCTCCTCGTCCCTGTCTCGATGCAAGGCTGCCCTCGCGCGAGGGAGGTTCCAAGGCTTGTGCACCCTCAAGTACCCACTCCATGGATACCGCAACGTCGATGATATTTGAGCCTATACCAATTGGGAAGTCAACTTCTTTTCTCTGAAGTGCGAGCGTCGCGCTTGGCCCTGCAGCAGAACCAGGACGCGGCATATGGAATGCTGGGATGAACCAGAACCATCCCATTGGGACCTGGCGAAATGTATCCAGTTAGTGCACTGTTCTGAGGGTATCAATCCATTGGAAGTGACACTCACTTGACCCATATAAAGCTTCACCCGTACCTCCCGATCAGCCTCCAGCACGACACCATCACTGTTTTTAGGCGTCTGGGCCCCTTCGTTGATGGATGTCTGTTCCGATTTCGTGTCCTGCGCGGCATCCAGCCTGTTTCCAGCATCTTGCTGGATCTTGTCACGCAAGGCACCCCACTTGTCGTCCGTCAGTGGATGCAAGACCTGCGCTAGCACTCTCTCGTCCTAATGCGAATCCAGCATTAGCTCTGCGCATAGACAGCCACCGGCCACCGTATTAGCGAGGGGCTCACCGTCTGAGACTCCTCATTCCGGACAGAATCCGCTCCCACCACTCCGAGCCGTGCGAAGCTTCGCACCATCTTTCCATTGTCCCACTCATCGGCCCTGAATATATCCGCAAGCGCCTTGTCTCCTCTCCGTTCGCTGCCTGCCCTCCGCCTGCCCATATCACCCGCGCGCTCGCGCGTGTACTGCTCCCAGCGCTCGAGCTGCTCGACAAGCTCGTCGTCGTACCGTGCGAGAGACGCCCACAGCAGTCCGCGGCCCCGCGCGCTCGCGGCGGCCGTTCCGGTTGCCTTCGCGAAGCTCGTGCGTTCGATGACCGCGTTCGCTGCGCGCACGAGCCTTGTCGCCATACCCGAGAGCTCGCGCATGCGCACGGTGATCTGCGTCAGGCGCACCTTTCGCCGCCCGGGCAGGGCTGCATCCGCGTCAGCTGCCCATAATCCGCGCGGGGCCTGGTGCGCGAGCAGCAGCGACCAATAATAGAGCCAGCGTCGCTGGCTGGGGATACTCACGCCTTGCTTCGCTTTGCGAGACGGAGACGAGGGCCGCTTCATGCGCCGGGATGAGTGCAGCTCGAGGACTTGGGTCAGATTATCTGCTGCGGTACCATGTGTGATGTCCCTGCTCTGTGCATCTGTTGGCTGTTCCTGGGCCTGGGGAGAAGGAGTCTCTGTTCCGCTCGCAAGCTCAGAGGCGATTGGGTCTTTTCCGTCTAGGGATAGGTCGTCTTGGTGCAGGTTCTGGTCTTCACCTTCGTCAGACGGCATCGCATCCATTATCTGCTCGGCACGGGCAGTCGCCTCTTCCTTGGCGGTGCGACTCCGCGTGGGTTGTAGAGGCTGCGGCGGGGCGTTCGACGTGAGAAGGTACGCACACGCCATGGTTCCCGACCTTCCCTTTCCGGCTTCGGAAATTTGAGGCAAAATGAATGTGGGATATTAGTGGTCGGAAGGGACTTCGCGATAACGGGCGTGTGGTCACCTTTGCAGTGCAGAACGGCGACGTGAACTGGATCTGCTTCCAGCCATGTTCGCATCTCGCGGGCAACAAGCGGGAGGATCGCGAGAGGGGGAGCGCTGGAATGTTAGACCTATCAGTAAATGTTTTGTTTACACTACTGGTAGAATTATGGCATAGGAACTACCGGGTGCCCTGCCATGGAAAATTACAAAAGATGTCAATCAAACAGGATAAGCCTTCCACCCTTGTTTAGGGAGCATTTCGCTATCATGGAAAGCATCATTTTTTTCGTCATGCGTAGTGTGGTGTGGCAACTCCGATGTGGGTGTGACATTGACACTGTATGCAAGATTTGAACTGCTAGCATATTTTTACTATGCAGCCAATCATGCTTGTCTGAGCACCCGAACAAGTGTAAGACCCGTTCGCGCCTCACCGGTGTGTCAGAGCACCGGTGGTTAAAGGGTATGCAGGAGTCTCGCCACCATTGTACTATTGGAAAATGCTACAGACACGCACTGGTGATCGGGGAAAGGATACCGACTGACTCGGCCGTCAAAGACACTCGCCGGATACGAGTTCTCGCCTACAGGACAGAAATTGAAGACCCAGAAGTTTTTCTGATGTCGGTGTTCCAGAAACCTCCTTGCGTCTTCTCTCCGGTTGCGGTACAGGGACTCGAGGCCGGCCGCAGGGTAGCCCATCACGACGACCTGGTCTGTGATGTACACTAGGTCTGCGGGTGAGAAGGGTATCAGAACGATGGAGAGAATTGCAGCCCGTGGGCCATGGAGCTGCGTGCTTACCTAGATCTACGTCCAGGTCGCCATCTTTGAAGCGAGCTTTGTCGCCAGAAACCAGGCGGCGGATGAAGTCGGTCATGAGAACTCGGGGCAGATGTTGATTCGTGACTTCGTAGCCGCAGTGTACAAGTCTACAGAGTCGAATTGGTGAAGTTGAATGCAGTCGGTGCTAGCTCGCAGCCACAATTTGAATCATTGTGGTGAGGTCATAGTTCCAAGAAAGGAAGGTGGAGATCTGCACGCTTGGGCGGCTCGATCACAACAGAAACGCATCGTTTCCTCAGTATGTAGAGCTGTTAGATGCTCGAGGACTCTGTTGGGAACAGCTTTCTAGTATTCGACTTTCAGGCTCTAACAGTATATTGTACAGCAAGAATTGGCCGCGAAATCGGCGGGATTTGTTACTAATGTGAGTACAGTGCGCTTACGGGAATTTCAATGCCCGAGCCATTATCCACATCAACTAGGCTCGCGTAGCACATGGAGAACTAATGTAGTGTGAATTTTCTCATAGAAGTCTCAGAATAAGAACGCAAATTCCAGCCTGTTCTCTCCAGCAGGCCTTGAAGGCTGGCTGGACCATTTCATACAGACAGACAGACAGACAATTGTGATTTGAATGTTGGTGTTCCTGAACACAGAACAGACATGCTAATCGACACTATAGAGAAGAGCTTTCCGGAAATTTGATGGGTACTGAAAGCCTCGGGGATTCAGAAAAAATCAGCTATCATATTAAATCATCACTAGACAGCGCAGGGGGGTTGCAGTGACACTCTGCACAGAAATCTGATGAATTTTGAATCAGGTCCGGCTGCATTGCTGAATAACACGACTACGAATCGCTGTCACGGGAAACATAATGGCCTGGCATAAACTGCAGTGCTGACACCGCGTATAAACGCGGCCCGAAGATATCACGGTGAACGCAGTCAGGTCAATCTTGGATCATTCTCTCTTCTGTGCTGCGAAGCAAAGGCCTTTTTTGACTCTGGTACCATGAGTTCGAATCCTATTTTGCTCGAAAATCTGTCGCTCTTCCCCGCCACGCCGGAGCAAACACTGGAGTGCCTAAAACGGACCGCTATCGAATGGGCGAATGGATTTACTACAGAAGACTTCGTCCGGCGAGAGACGATATTGAGTCTACAGGAACACGGAGCAGAGGGGAAGCTCACATCTTGGTATGTTCGACGGTCGCACTCTCATGCGTTTGTTTATCGAATACACACCTAGGGTGATAGCACCTAGAGCAAATCCAAAAACATTGGATTTCATGTGCTCGTGTGACACGTGAGTTTGTGCTCGTTTCACTCACGGCCGTCTTCATGGGATCCTTCAAATTGGTTAGATTCCGCCGGACCGCAGTTGTTGCACGGCCAGGTGCAGACCCTAAAGCAAAAGAGATTATTGCTTACGGTATAGCCTCTGTTTTCACGCCGCCAGAAAAGCGACGGAACGGATATGCACGACATATGATGCGCCTCCTGCATTGGGTCCTCGCACCGTGGAGTACACTTCCCCCATTCCCTAAGGCCTGGGGTGCACCACCAGCTGTAGCGCACGGCAATGCACAGCTTTCCATCCTATACAGCGACATTGGCCCCAATTTCTACTATACGTGCGGACCCGATGGCAACGGGACACCGGGATGGGTCGAGTGTGAGTCTGTAGAGACGAGCTTGGTGTTATCTTCGGAAAGGATGAGGGAAAACGTCAGCGCCCCCCACAAGTCTTCGCACAGTTGGATGTGGCTGGGAGAGGACGACATGAAATACGTGTGGGAGCAGGACGTTGAGTGGATGAAGGCCGACCTGGCTGCCAGCGCGTCTTCTACTAGTCGTCTGCAGGTCGCGTTCCTGACCGATAAGGGCGTCGGTGCGTCCCAGGTACAGAGAACGATGGCATTCACGGAAGACATGCAACCTGTCCTCCCACTGGTACATGGGGCATGCTTCTACTCCCACGCAAGGGGGCCACACTGCACGACGTCCTCGAGAATATTGGAAGTGGGCGTCCCACGTTCGCGACGTGGTCCCTGGACACGCTCGCATCCTCCCGCACGCTCATCCTCACACGACTCCGAGCGACGAGAGTAACCTTCCCTGCGCTCGTAGAGCGGCTTATTGAGTTTGCTAGAAGGTGCGACGTGGTGAAAATTGAGATATGGGGGATGAATACGGAGCTGCAGGAAGTTGCGGGTGGACTGGGCTGGGAAACTACTAGGCGGGCCAGTCACCTGGCGTCTATGAAATGGTACGGAAAGGAAGTGAGCGACGAGATTGATTGGGCGTTTAACGAAAGGTGAGTACTGCCTGTACTAGGAGAATTCATGGTCACGTATATGCATAGGTTTTGCTGGGTCTAGAAGAACCGTCAATATGTATTTGTTAAGATTAAATGAGAGCGAAGGGGAACAAATGAATACGACAGCTGCGCTCTTTATCCGCAATAAATCATATAACACTTGCGTGAATCGGCGGGCAGCGTTCGAATTCGAATCGTCCCATACTTCCTACCACAAGACGTCATACACTCAGAGACCATGATGATGATTTGGCTCTGCACATGTTCTTTGATTGCGACTTTGTTTAGAAGACCCGTCAATATACTATTGTCGGTGAGCGAGTTACGAAGCGGCTGGGTAAACATTCTGTGGAACAGGAGCGAGCATACTCCTATCTCTATGCCAATGTGGGGCCTTGTATAGTCAAGCTGTGATGTATGTGACTTCTTCGAGGGATCTTGGAGGAACGACATCCTGAAATGATACTTGGAGATGCAGCGAGAACATCATTGTGACTATTGCTGGGCGTCCCGGATGAGCCATAGCCACTGGGAACGAGTGCGCTGCTAATCGTTTTCAGGAATTGCAGTGCGTGGTCGCTGTACGTGTTAGGTGGCTCACGCGGGGCGCGCCGCGCCACATGCCGTTGGCCACAGCAGATCGCTTCAGATCCAACGGAAGGCGGCTGTCGCACACCTCCGAACCATAAGCTTAGAAAAATAAGTGCTGATCTATCATTCATTCAAAAATCATGTGTACTAGCAATAGTGCATGGTTAAAACATAAGTGAATTCTTCTATAGGACATAGATACCATAAATTGCATGCATTTCAATTGGGTCTTGAAAAGGCGCATACCCGGAGGTCTATGTGAATATCTCAAGCATATTCTGCGACCACACTGGTAGGTTCTTTGTAGATCGCAATAGGCGTGAAGGGAAGATCATGTAAGCTGGAATGATTAACGTATCGAATTAGCTTCATGAATTACTAGAGTCGATGTCTGCCACAAACCCGAATGCGGCCGGTCCACCAGTAGCCAGCCCTTCAGTAGTTTCTGTCCATTTCGGGTCACCCGCCATAGCGATTACGGTTACCCGTAAGCCATACCTGCCCTTTCGTTAATTCTTATATTAATTTGTCGTTGCGCATAACTCACCGATAGTCAGGAGTCCCAAGCGCGCTACCGTTTTGCGAATCTAATACAGTGATTAGATCCGGAACAGTTACCAGAACCTGATACATGTGCGGTCTTCAGTTTTGAAATGCGGAATGAGAAATGAGAATCACCTTTCTATCGCCATCGTTGGGACTTTCAATGTATGCGTATAGATTCTCATTCTGGAACGGAATCACGAGTCGGTCTTCTGGGCCATAAAGCTGATTCGCTGTTGCTGGGGAACCTCCATCTTCTTCCTCGTCCTCCAATAGAGGAACAATCGTGACAGAGCCCCAAGTGAAGCCCTTTCGAACCTCCTATTACATCGCATATCAATAAGCTCTACGATGGCGAAAAAGAGCCCAATGTGAGATTCCGTACCCGCTGAACATCCACGATCTTCCCAACGAACAAACATGCGCCATTTTGCAGCTTGAGAATGGCTGCAGGAATGCTTTTGAAATCGTTATTTTTTCTGCATAATGCAATAGTACGTCCAATGCGCCAAGCTTGCGAGACTGTCCTGGGGATCCCTGTTCGCACAAATGGCTCGTTACGACCGATTTCAGGAACCACAAATATAGTCACGCACCATATTGTTGGCAGGTGAGACGGGTCAGAGGTGCCATACTGACGCCGCTCTTGGACCCCATCTCTGTCGTCACAGTTCGCAGGATAGTTTCGACAGATTTGGGATTGCTTGCTGTTGGCAATACCTGAAAGTCGCTTAGAATATTTACTTCCGGAAAGCTGCCAAAATTACCACGGCATTGCCGACACCATCAGCTATGGCACAGGGCCACAGGCCCCCAGGAATATTGAAAGCACCAGGAAGACTGATCGTTCGAGGGGGTCACCAATACCATCATTGGTATGTCGGAGCATACGACTTACGATTGATACATCTGGATATCAATGTCAGTTGTGCACATCATCTTTTGCGGACAATAACCATCGGCTCACGTTCGGATAGGCACGACCCATGAGATCACCGTCAAGGACCGTTTTACCCATCTCCGCGGCCACAATCATTGGCTGCAGCCCGTTTCCACCACCTATCTCGTCAGATATTGTGCCCGCGACGTCCTGAAGGCCCATGTATTTCATGAGTGCACGGATTGCCGAAGGGATCTCATTGCCACCCTGAAGACGCTCCAGCTAGCAGATACATTATCTCGGTTATATACCAGGGGGAGATCAAATGAATGGCGTACAGAAACACTAGGCGCTCCCTATATAAGATTTACATGGTAAATGAGGTGAATACATGCACGAGAATGCGCCCCACGCACCATAAACATACAGCGGATGAAGACAGCGTCCTCAGCGACATCCTCTGGGTCGACGACCTAGCATAGAAAATATCTTATAGGATTCGCCGTCAGAAGCGCAGTCACACTCACGATGATTTCCTTTCCATCGCGTAGAAGTTGGCGGGCCATAAGGAACGGTGGATAGGTGGGACCTCCTCCACCTGTCCCTAATACTCCACATCCCTCTGCAATCCACTCTGCAACGTAAGCCCAGGTCAGAAAAAATATCAGAAAGGCAGTCGGACGCCACACCAAGGTCAAGCTCTGTGAGACTCCATGAGCGGTCCGGGCGGATTGTTGGCTTGTAAGCCTCAATGTCGATGGCCTGCTCTTCACTCTGTTCATCTAGCACTGCCTTCTCTCCCTCTCTATAATCTTCATTTTGAGGGGCTGTTACCTCGTCTAAGGAGATCACAGATGCGATAGCCTCCGGTGCCAGGTCGCCGGCGGCTTTTACAATAATACGAGTGGCTTGGTTCGTAACATACTGCGAAGCCCATGAACCCCCAGATCTTCCTGAATTCATAGAATCATCCGAAAACGCACCTGGACGGGAAGATTCACTACCTCTACAATCTTCGTCGTAGCTGGACCGCATGCCCCTGATGAGTTGAAGGTCGCAGACAGTGAGACACAGACTGACCCGGGTCTGCGCCTGCTTTGATGGCTTTCTCTATCGCTTGCTTCTTGATTGCGTCGATGACGTCGTGAATGTCCCGATTCTGGAGTAGTTCAATGGTATCAATCTCGCCAGCAACTGCAAAGGAGTTTGTTAATATAGCTGGCTAATGCTCCCAATACATACTTTACCCTTGGCCATAGCCGCCCCAACGGCATTTGCGACACTGAAGTATGGCGGCCTGAGAATTTCACCGACGCCGGAGAGTTTGTCCGGAGCGATGATGCTACCACCCCCAACCAAAAGTACTGTAATATCTTCTGGAGATGTCTTCATCCTAAGATGATGGAAGTAGTATGTCAGACTGGTGTACAACATGACCCCTCGTCATACGGACAACATACTTGTCAATAATACCCTCGAGCCCTTTCTTGATCGCCTTGGCAGCCTTGTCAATTACAGAACCGGGCACATCAGCAACCTTCTCCTTGACACCGAGCTCGGCACCTCCACTAGCAACAATAATGTCTGTCGTAGTCAACGTATTCCCGCCAAAAACTCGTGCATCGCGTATCAAGTTGTGTCCTACGGATTCAGGGCCGACGGCTACGCTCGACCCCTTGGGCGTGTCCGATATCTTGACGTGCGAACCGCCCCCAAGGCCGATGGATTGAACGTCAGCCATCGCAAAATTCGTGCGCACCCCGCCAACTTCGATGAACGAAGCGGCCTGGCGGGGGAATCCAGATGGT